TGCAAGAGGAGTCCTCAAGATGGATCAATGTGTATTTCTTCACGAATGCTCCGGGCTTCGACCTGTCCTGCTCACAGGAAACATACCCATAGGCTCCATAGTAGCTCCTTTTGGGGATTATCATATAGGATCCTAAATATGAACCACAAGAAGGAACTATGATGGAGCCTATGGGTAGAGCGTGATCTGTGGCCCCCTTAGCTAATAACCTTCAGCCTCCTCAGGACCGGCGCTATACCAAAACACCTATGATCCCCACAACCCTACGAACGTGAAAACCCTAAACCTCCTCAGGACCCCAATCTCACTCCCAAAATCCTCCCGAAAGTGAGCTTAACCTTCGTGCTTTAAACCAAAAACATCATGCGCAACAGCCAGTACCAGCCCCATAACGCCATAACGCCTTGTAAAGCAGGATGTCCCTCATACTCAATGAACCCTAAACGCTAGGAAGCCACCAAGGGTGCGCTTGAAAATGACATCCCTAACATTTCAACCCGCAAACCTCTGTTCATGAACTCTAAACCCCAAAACCCATGAACACCAAAAACCCAAAGCCAGAATTTACAGGCTTTGATGCTTCAGGGTGGGCTGAAGAAATGGCCATGGGGTGCAGGGCTCTCCAAGGGTTCTATACTAATGATCTGAAGGCTTTAAGGGAGTTCAGGCTTTAGGGGTTTAGGGTTCAGGGTTTTGGGGGTTTTTAGGGTATATAAATCCCGCATCACCCATAAACAAATAAGGAATACATAGCCATAATTCCCCATAGTTTAGGGTCCTTAAAAGGTAAGGCAGGATTTCTATCATCAACAGTACCAATCGTACTCCTCAGGGTTCCTTCGAAAAAGTCTAGTATAGTACACCCCAAACTCTCCTTTTTTTAAATCCTGCATTACCAACAATAATGAATTTACCATAATTCCCCATAGTTTAGGGTCCTTACAGGATAATGCAACCCTAAACCCTAAACCCCAATTCCCCATAGCTTAGGGTCCTTATAGGATAATGCAGGGTTTCTACGATCAACAGTAGGATCCCCAGTCGCCTACGAAGGGAAAGGGCTCCCTTTTTGGTTTCGGATCGGTTTCGGGGTTTAGGGTTTAAGGGTTTAAGGGTTTGGGGGTTTAGGGTTTAAGGTTTTGGGGTTTAGGTTTTAGGGGTTTAGGGGTTTAGGGTTTATAAGAAACCTGAAACCGCAAACATGGCAAAAGGGCTCACTGGGAGGCCTGGTATACGAGTTCCGCAGAGTTGAGGCTTCATCAGGCATTCAGGAGGGTTTAGGGTTAAGGGTTTAGGGTTTATCACGGTTAAGGGTTGCATGTCTTGTTGAATAGGATTTTACGGGGTTACATATCAAGTGATTTCGGACTTTGGCGCTCTGAACGGCTTGCGTGTGCAGGTTAGTATCAGGCCATTGTCTCTAGCATTAGGGGTTTGTAGGTTGAAGGTATGCATTCAGGCCCAGGGCTTGTAAAGGTGTAGAAAAATGAGGGCTCTTCATAAGGCCATAAGAGACCTAACCCTAAACCCTTGCACAACCCTAAACCCTAGAACGGCTTTCTAGATGCTGTCGAGGTGCCTGTGACGTCACAATCTGCTGCTTTTGAAAACGCCGGGCTTGGCTGAGGTGCAAGTTCTGGAAGAAATTGTCGCGGTTGTAGCCTGTAGGGTTCAGAATTAAAGGAAACTACAGTCAGGTTGGGAGTTTAGGGTATACCATCAGGCTTCTATAAGGTATATAGACCTTCTATAAGGCTCCTAGAACGGTAACTACCCACCTAAAAATGTCCTAGATTAGAAGGCAAAGGGTTCAGGGTTAGGATTAGATGGTTTCCCTAAGCCTTTAACCCTTATGGGAAGATGGGTTTAGGGCTTGCTTGTGGTGAGGAGCGGTGAAGAGTTACAGTTCCGATGTAGGGAGCTTCATAATCCAAAATCGGGCCACGGGGTAGGTTGTACTCCCTAAACCCTAAACCACTTGGGTAGGTTGTACTCCCTAAACCCTAAACCACTTATAGAGGGATAACAGGCAGATATCACGATTCACTATTCCCACCCCTGCAGTGGATGGAGGCTTGTAGCGTTCAGGATAGCTCTGGGCTTTCCTGGGGTAGGGTTTAGGGTTTAGGGTTTAGGGTTAAGGGTTAAAGGTTTAGGGGTTTAGGCTTCGAAACTTCGACATTGAGGGAGTCCGATTGAAGGATTTTGAGTTCAAGGCTAAGGGTTTCGCAGGATACTGACTTGTGCTTGTGTCGTTGTTCTTGAAAGTCTTCAGCGTTGCCTTCGGCCTTAAGACGCCACAGCACCTTACTTCATTCAGGCAGAGGCACTAACCTACTTGCAGTCTGATGTTTCACATCATACTAGGGAACACTCTATCTATCATTTAAGATATTTACTCTTAAGTGACATAGCTCCTTCTAGCTATTCTAGCTCGACACAGCCCTAATTAACCCTGTATACGGTATACTGAACACTAAACCCCAAAACCCAACACGTGTCCATACGTAGATGATTTAAAGTCTGGGACACCGGAAGACCGCCCTCTACCCGACTCTGGGTGAAGCCAATACAAAAGTTGATAGTCAAATTAATACTGCTAATGACTACCCGTGCTCTGATGAAATCAATGTCCTGAACAAACGATACTACAGCAATGGCACATACTGCTACTAATTTGCTGAGCAATACTAACTAAGACTGTATCTGTTTTGGGGCACCGGGAAGGGGGCCCTGCTTAGGCCGCAACACTACCCAAAAATATTGCCCTGTCGAGTAGGGTTTTGCCGAGTTCGGGATGCTCAGTGTGGGAAACTAACTTATATGATCGCAGAAACGCTCGGAGAACAGCAAGACAAGAACAGCATCGTCGGACAAACGAGAACAGGACTGTGACTGTTGCTGCTCTTCTTTAACCCGAAACCCCAAACCCGAAGCCCTATTGACGAGTGTTTCTGTGACTGTGATTCTACTACCCTAAAGCGGCAGCTTTCCAGCCTCAACATTCAATAATTAGCAACAACCGTCGTACCATCATCGCTACTATCACTGACTGTGACTAATGATGTGGTCACTGACGAGTAACACCCTGCCATCCTAAGGACGAGCATCGGGATCATTATGAAGGCGCTAAACGACAAGGGTGATATCTATCAGGGTGTACTGATATGTACATCTTTTTAGCTAAAATTTTTCATCGTGTTATTATTGTTGCCAATAAGATTAATACTAGTACTAGGCGTAGTAGTAGTAGTCGTCGTCGTCGTGGTCGTCGTCGTCATCGTCGTCGTCGTCGTAATAGTAGTAGTAATTAGTCGTCGTCGTAGTAGTAGTAGCAGTAGTCGTAGCAGTAGCA